TTTTTTTTTGTAATGCATTGCTGACGTCGTTTTCCGCATTCTCTCCGGGATTTCCTCGTATTATTTCCTCAATGTTAACTCGGCTGAGGCGCATGATTTTCGCGTCGGAGTCCGTACATCAATCGATCACCCTCACGATCGTCCGGCATTTCGTCAATTCAGTTTTCAGGCCGAAACTAAGCAGCTTCTTCGACGAAATCGAGAGGCGCCGAACAAATTAATTACTTTGGGAAAAATCATTATTCCCATAATCGAAAGTTCCCACGGGAAACGAATTCTGCTTCCGAATTCTGCAGCATGCATGTCTTCGACAGCTGAAGCCATTTCAGCGCGAGCCAGTTCGTATTACCATTTAACCATTTCGTTTTTCAGGGTAAAACCTAAAGCCCAGTTAATATTACAATTTTACAGGGAAAAAGTAAGAAATATTTGAAGCTCGCGAAGATTTTCCCAAAGAAGTCATTGCGAAAAAGAAAAAAGCATGCATTTTCACCAGTGAAACTTTCGTTTCCTTCGGGCCATCGCATGCCCCTCATTCCACCAAAAGAGACGAGGGGAATCGTGAGTGCATGAAACCTCCCCCATCCCCCCTCCCCATTTCGCATGGAATCGTCATGACTCAGAATTCTAGCGCGCGGATTATTTTCTGCTTAGAAAAATCTGGAACACATCCGCATGCCTGATGACACAATCCCCAGTTTTTACCTCAGTGCCAATATTTAGGCAAAAGCGACTCTAGAGTCGACTCATCGGCCCGGCTATCTTCAGCAAACCAGCAGGCGAGTCGATCGGACGACACTTTCGCGACCGAGATAGCTCGGGCATCACAGAATCTTATCGAGTGGGCGAGTTTACAACTATCTGGAGGGGAAACGATCCGAGGATTCCCAACGGTTCCGATATATCCGTGATAGAAACAGAAATAGGTTCCGATATATCCGTGCTAATATTCAGTCAGGCGACCGAAAATGAAACCGTCCCGCGACTAAGAAGCCGTCGAGGCTCGTTCGGGTTCTTCATACGTTTCCGAGCTCGGGAGTTTTTCCTACGGGACGAAGGTATCGTGCTTGCGAGAGAGAATACGGGTCGATGGGATTGCGTTCCGAAGCAGCAATAAAAGTGGGAAAATATCTGCAGTTCAAAATGCGGAGAGTTCTGCGCCTACGGAAGTTCCGCTGCGTCGCCGGCGAGACTCCCAGAGAGATCGAGGATTACCGGCCGCGAGGGCCACCTCGGTTCCCACGTCGCACATGCTGGGGCGTTTTGAGACCGTGCTTCCTTCGGAATTTCCTCGCGGTATTCTCTCACTCGTGATTCGGACCTCGAACCGCCCTTCAGGCGATCGGCAGGCACGATCGAACGAACACGCAGGGCCTCGCGAACGGAAGGAAAGACAAAACCGGCAGACGAAACGTGGTCAGCCACGAGTCTCGGTTTCGCCTTCCTTCAACTCCAGATAGAAAAAGCCAAACGGTCGAATCCGGGATCTTGGAAGAATCCCTCCGCAACAGAGTGTATATAGATGTCTGGAGAGGTCTTCGCTGCCTCCAGACTTACGAGTGCTTCCGCCATCTTGGGACTGTCTCGCACGTGGGAATGAATATCGTGATTGGTTGGGTCCTGGCGTGGAGGTCCCCAGACATATAGCCCGGGGCAAGTTGCCTCTTTTGCCCTTTCTCTCTCCATGTGTCTGCCATGAACTCCTTGCTCGTGCGACTACAGGACGACGGCGGCCGCACCTGGAAGGGTGCAGCGTCTCGCGCCATAGCCTCCATTTATACACACTCTATGCTGTTCCCTCTCCTCCCTCCCTCTCGACCTCGACCCTTCTTCCTTATAACTCGTGCAAGGAAGAGGTGAATCTGGGTCGAGAGGGCCAAAGGAAACGAACGAGATACCGCCAGTCGATAAGCAATCACCAGTTTGCTATTGGAATGGCCTACTCTCGTCACGCCCAGGGTCATGCTCCAATTTTCTTCAGCTGTTTGGGTGCGATTATTCGAATCCAGGTCATCGGAACGCATCGGACGATTCCGAGAGCATCGGGTCACGACGTTTTTCCATTCTTGGTTCCAGAGCGTCTTCGGCGAACGAGACCCCGGCTGACCAAATACAATCGACCCATCGACTAATTTTCCTGTCAGATTAGCGCTCCCCCCAAAAAAGGCCTCCGCGACCGGTCCAAGTTCTCGATCGAGGACGGAGACCTCGACTCGCCTTTTCTCTTAAACGAAAGAAATTTCTGAAACACTTGGTAGTTTCCCGTCTTCCACCTCTCACGATCTCCACAGCAAGAATTCACACTGGAGTATCGAAGATGCCGCACCATTTTCCTCTAAGCTTCCATCAACCTCTGTGGATTTAAGGTGTTCTCGCAAATTAATTCGTACCACCTTTAACATGGGGCCCATGCTCTTCTATGGAGGAATCCTCTCAACCTAGACGGCGGCGCTTTCGTCGCGGCGCCTGGGCGACATCTAAAGCATGTAGAGTGAACTACAGTGATTGGAGAACGTAGAGGCCAAGAACAATGTTTAAAGGAAATTGTTTTTCTCGAAATATTCCTGGCGCGACTTATCATTCTACGTCTTCCTGAACCCTCTTGTAAAACCTTTGTCATTCCAACCCATCATTTCCTTGCAAAAGATAAAAACAATCAAGAATTCGTAAAAGGGTGGAAGTATATCGAAGCCGAATACAAGGAAGGATAGTTTTGGAACGATGTCTTAGGATTCAGGTCACGTCTTCTATCGTACCGACAGATTACTAGGCATCCTGTTAAATGTGTAAAAACAAAAAAATCAAATCAAGGATGCTGACGGCCACAGCTACCATGAAATAGACAACCCAACATAGACCAAAAATACGTGGAATGTTCGAGATCCAGGGATCCGGACATCTTCGCTGCACGGCAATTCCCAAGAGACCGACCGGCCGATGCGATGAGGCGCCAAGAAGCGGGAGGGAGACATCCATCCTCCGGAATGGAAACTACAGTTGGACCTCCTCTGCCACCGCATCGGATGCTCCATCCGATTACCATGCGCAATGTGCGAATGTACGGCGGTGCGAATTCATTTGCGAAACGCTGTATGCATGTAAAACATCCACGTTGGTGTCTCACGTGTGCGATGAGAGTGCAACGTTGGGCCTCAGCAGGCCTATCCCTATCGGCCCCATATTGGGACTTCGAGGCGTTTGGAAGAGTTCCGTAAGTATCATCATGGAAGTACAGTATTACAGCCTGTATGTATGTTACTGACCTGTATGTTACTGACCTGTATGTTACTGACCTGCGACCCTGCCGGGCAGCTTCATGCGGTCCATTTTCTCTCCGTCTGCCTGGAAGTGCTCCAGTGAGCATTGCCTTCCCGTCGAGTTTCTATCGATTACGCGGGTTCACAACACGTGGTGATTGCGTCCATGACACGCATGTCTCTTTTCTCGCACTGGAATAAGATAGATCAGATTCTTTGGGATATCTCTTTCGTCACCCACGGATGGTCCTCCTTCAAAGGAGCCAGACTCTTTCGACTGTGGATTTGCGCTGGTACTTCTCAGCTCACGAAATGAGATTTTCTAGTCCGACTATCCTTCCTCTAGAAATGCCAGGAGATAGAGAATTACCTTCAGAGAATCGCCCTACTGTTCATCCAAACGTATTGCAGTGTTTTTGGGATCTTCCCCAAAGTTTTCGGTGCGAAAAGATCTGCATGAAAATATATCGGTACCAACATTGATATATGGAAATAGTGCTTTAGGAGCTGCTCATGCGCCATCTCGATTCATTTGTGTGAACCTTGTACGTTCGGGTTCCCGAGCTAGAGGGCTGGTCCGCACTAACGCCGTGTCAACTACATGATTAGCTCGCGAAGTTGGCCCAAGCTCACCAGCTCGCAGCAAACGCAGGCCCAATGCGTTGCCTTAGATCACGAAACGTTCCTCATCGGCTCCAGGTTTAAAGAGACTCCTGATAACCACGTGATCTCGGCAGCCTTTGGAAGCCGGACTTGAAACTGGAGGGAAAGGGTGGAGAAATGCAGGATGGGTTTCCTTCAGCCACTCCCTTCGATTTCACTTGCGTACGTGGGATTGCTGCATGAACCTGGCTCGATTACCGTTTCGCCGCATCTTTAGGCCACATTGTCGCAGGGCAACCGACACGCAGAATGGGTATAGATACATAATAGTCGGCGAGCATTTATATGCGTTTTAAAAAAAAATTCACCCTTCCTTTTGCATATTGGAATAGAGAGCAGGGACACACTTTAAACTCACCTGTTTGGAGTCGACATGCATTACCCATGCCGAAACGGTGAACGATGCAAAAAACACTGGAGACACTGGTTCAGACATCCGCCAGGTACAAAAACGAAATAAAACTATACCGCAGACGAGCCACGCGAACCCGATTCCTCGTTCCGCAGAACCAAGTTTCCACTCTCTCTCTCTCTCTCTCTCTCTCTCTCTCCCTTCAGCCCCGGGCTATTTTCTCCCTGTCCATATTCACGGGGCAGAGTCGTGTTATATTGCACTCGTGTATCGTACGCAGGTGATAAAAAAAAAGACTGGTGTCTAAAAGTGGAAGAAAGCTGCTGCTGCGGTTGGCGCATATATTAGAGCAGCGCTACACGAAATGAAGTATTTCTGGACCGGTCGGAACGGTTTCGCCATGTCCGATGGTCACTGCTCTACGGCGTGCAACATTTTCGGCAAGGCATTTGTCCTTGGAGAAATCCATCCGGAGAGGCAGTGCGTGGTGGGATATTTCAGTCTTGGTTTCACCGAGCTTGCCTGCAAGGGTCTATTCACGACCCGAACAAAAAAGTTTTTTGAGGTAAAATTGGGAAGGTGAAACTGAAGTAAAAGAAAGAAAAAAAGAGGGAAATTCCCCGGTTTCTTTAGATCGGTTTCACCGTCCGAATTTTAGCGCTCCACTCTCATTTAACGCTTTTTTTTACTGGTGATTTACCTCTTTTTTTTTTATAATCGACACCCATATGGGTTATCAGAATTCTATGATCAGGGTGAATTATGTGATCAAAATTCTAAATGCATTTTCACATTAGACTATTTCGAACCAAATAGTCGAAAGCTCACAGACCCTGAGATTACCTCATCCTAATGCCAAAGCGACCGATTCGCATCGCAACAGAAAGAAGATTTTGAAGGAAGAGCCGAACCACCGACACTGTCGGCAGAAAGGGCTCGGGGTTTCACCTTGGTGAAGGATAAACCGTAATTGGAGGTAAGATGACTGTGAATCGCCATTTAAAAGGGTTAATTGGATGCTCATCTTGAATGCGATGAATTTATTGATGTACTTTTTGATCGAGAGGGTTAAGCATTTATCTAGGAGAGCTTCATGAGTCTTGTGCGCAGATGAACGAGCATTCACGAGAACAGGCAGAAATATTTATCTATCTGAGGTTATTTATTTATTCGAGGTTACATATATGAAACACTGAATGCGAAAGTTCTTCGTAGGACTCGGATGTTACCGACCAGAGTTCAGGTTTTAACCTTTTCAGGGTTAAACAGACGAAAAGGTACGGGTGAGGGGAAAACACTATTAGCAAGGGTTATTCTTGTCATGTAAATTTCCTTTTATACCACCAGGGGCCTATTTCTCGAAGCTTACAAGTTCACAAGTCTACAAGTTTACAAGAAATAGCTTGTATTTACAAGTACTGTACTTGTAAATTCTGTTTCTTGAAAATCTTTTAGGAAACGCTTGTATTTTATTACTGCAGGGTCAAAGTTCACAAGTCCACAAGAGAACATGGCACTCACGGAGAGCACATTGGCTGTGCTCACCCTCCTTCGGGAAAAGAAAACTATTCCGTTCAGAGTGCCATCAACCCAACCACAAACGTAGGGCATTCCGGGTCGCACTTGAGTCAACCCAGAGAACTTAGTTGCAATCTCAGCAACATCCGTTGTTGGCCAGTCCACGTGGATTGGGAAAGAAAACTATTCTGTTCAGAGTGCCATCAACGCAACCACAAACGTAGGGCATTCCGGGTCGCACTTGAGTCAACCCATAGAACTTAGTTGCAATCTCAGCAACATCCGTTGTTGGCCAGTCCACGTGAATTGGGAAAAGGGTTGAGTTGATGGCGTTCACAACATCGTGAACGCATCTGTACACAGACGCTTTGGAGACATTGTGCATGTCGGCCACTCCCTGGTACTGCCCTCCATTGCCAGGCCAGTGAAGAGCAATGAGGATCTGATCCATTGGTGCCAGTTCATGACTTCTCGCAGTGGGTCGTTCGAGACGAAGCCGCATACTCAGAAGAAGGTACTCCATATCATTCGGTTTCAATCGAAACCGCTCATGGAAGCAGTAAATATTCAGCAAATCAAATCTAGCTCGTGGCTGAACCACTCGTTGATGAACTACGTGCACATCGCGCACCCTCACATCATACTCAGGATCATCAGAATCGCTAGAAAACATGGCGTTATTTGCAGTTGTGAACAGTTTAACCTACGTCCAGAGACTAGTAAGATTTCTCTGGCGTTTTACAAGTATATGCTCCCTGACTTCTTATTTGAGAAACGTAAACTTGTATTTTGTCCAACAACACTAATAAATTACAAGCGCACACAGTTGTAATTACAAGTGGGATCCTAATTCTTCTAGAAACATAAACTTGTTACTTACAAGACTAATACTTGTAACTTGTACTACTTGTATGCTTCGAGAAACGGGCCCCTCCTGAAGTTGTTGGAGATTTCTTCGTGGTAGACAGTTATTGGTTAGGACATATAAGGTGAAGGAGGGTAGAACATAGGAAAAGGACATTTCCCGTACATCATATTATTTACCAGTAACTTGTTTTTTTATGTATATTTTTTTCCAGGTCAAGCGCAGCTATAACGGATTCTTTCATTGTCTTTCCTAGGCATACGGGCCGATAAATTTCTTATTCTCCTCCCTGTCGACCCAGACGACCTTCGTAGAAGATGTGGCAACTTGCGTCTGCAATGCCGCCACGGATGTCACGTCCACCTCCAGCCGCACCACCATCGTGGGTTGCATGACGAACAACCTCGTCACGACGTGTGTGAGTATGGGTCGGTCACGAGGGTCGTTCTATCGGTCGCGAGGGTCGTTCCATTGGTCGCGTCGAAGTTCCTTCAGAAATTCTTCAATTTCTCATGTACAGGGTGTCTAAAAAAATGGATACACACTTTGATAATAATAATAAATTAATTAAGTATTTCAGAGAGGTACAATGTTCAATGTGTGGAGAAGCAAGGGTTTGAATTGCATGGTTCACTACCATAGATGATCAAAACTTTCATCGTTAGCATCCAGGCACTGTTGACAGTTGCCTGTTGGTGAGGTCTATCAGAACATTGCACATTACCGCACTAGCAATGTTCTGGGAGACCATGCACTGTACCATCGACATCAAACTTATCATGAATCCTTGAAAGTTCAAGTACGTCATGGTGGCATAGTTGCAAGTTCATCTCTCCACCTTCTTTGTACTTTAGATGTGATCTCAGATTTCTAGAATCACTTCAAAATCAATTTGCATTGCTCCAAGGTCAAGTGAGCTTGTGTCATCTGGAGTGACACACTGTCTCGTGGGGAAAAAATTGGCTGATGACACGCGATCATTCCATTACACATTTTTCATCTGTTAGGTACTGTACATGTCACATTAAACATTGTACCTCCCTGAATTATTTAAAACATACTCTTGATTGCATATACTATATATATTGTGTATACATTTTTTTTGAGACACCCTGTATGTTATCATTAATTAAGGCATGAACTGCTAAGATGAAGATTAACTTTGTATGAATTGAGTAACTTCAATCGATTAAATAAAGCTTTTCCATCATTCCAAAACGAGACAGAAGCAGGGTCGAGTGGAATATAAAAAAATAGCCGACGGTGAAATGCGATTTCTCTCCACGCAGCCGCAGACGACCACGACGACCACGACGGCCCCCGTGAAGACCTTCAGCTCCAAGCTGCAGCTTTGGCTCGCCTGGGAGAGGACCAAGTTCTGCCTCCTCCGAAGGAGGCTCCAGCTCGCCTTCGGGTTCGCCTAGTGGCCGGCTTCGATTTCGCCGTCTTGCCGTTGCAGGACGGGGTCGTACTCGTTTTTTTTCCACGATTTTTTCCCACTTTTTTATTTTCCGAAATGCACGATTCATCACCGAAAACGAGTCTGATCATTCCCAGGCCGCTCAGGAAGAATAATTACGGGAATGATTTGGGGACACACATTTTCCTTATTGGATTGAGACGTTCCATGTAGATAAAGTTATATTATATAGGATATACGAGGGCTGTTCAAAAAGTATCCGACGTTTGGCCGGGAAAAATACAATTACTCACCTGGAGGCCTGAAACCCTAATCCCCTTCAAAGTAGTCTCCTTGGGACTGCACATACTTCTCCCAGCGGTCCCGCCATTGCTGGAAGCATTTCTGGACCGCCTCTTTCGGAATGGAGCACAGCTGGGCCGTCACGTTCTTCAAAATGTCTTCTCGTGACACAAATCGGGTCCCTTTCAGCGGCATTTTCAGCTTGGGGAACAGCCAAGTCGGGAGAGTACGGAGCCTGACGAACCGCAGGAGTGCGGTGTTTGGCCAAGAAAATCTGAATTAGATGTGAGGAATGAGCTGGTGCGTTGTCATGATGCAGCTGCCAAGTTCCCGCTGCCCACAGGTCCGGTCTACGAAGGCGACGGAGGACCTCCAGGTAGTACTCTTTGGTAATGTTTTGGCCTCGTGGTGCGTACTCGTGATGCACCACCCCACGGGAGTCAAAGAAAACGGTCAACATCACTTTGACGTTGCTGCGCACCTGCGCACCTGGAGAAAACAATGATTGCCACAGTTCCAGTTGATGACTCATAACTCGAGTATGATGTATTCAATTAAATTTAAATTTCTGCAGTCATACTACGACTTCTTGGCTTTCGATTGGTACTAGTCCCTTGTGAACTGGCCTCCTATTGGAGTTGAAAGTGATAAAGTTTTGTCCCTCACACTCAGGCATACAGAAATGGATTATTATCATTTTATTTAGCACTTTGTGAGCTGCCCTTTGGAAGTCGTCCGTGGGTGTCAGGCCGGACCTCTGACCCTTCACCCAAATCAAGAGATCCTCCTCATAAACCCTCTTCGTGCATTTTGTGCTTAGCCACCTCTCTCTTCATTCCATACCGATGTCCACAGACGAGAGACGAAGTTATTTTTGCAGTTTAACCAGCCGCCAAGCTCCCAGGAAGGAAGTGCCCTAGGATCGCCCGCAGGAGGCTCCCCAGTGCTCCGGCCTGCCAACGCCTCCTGGTGGCTGGCCGCGTTCACACCGAACCACGTGATCTTCGCTTCACCATCCCAATTCGAATGCTTCAATCCAATTCCAACCGACCATCAGAATCGCTTCGTCATCAATTGTATATTGTATTCCACCCCACCTCGTTTCCTCTTTCTGTAAAGGGCATGCAGTGTAAATAAAAAGGTAATTGATGAAAAAAAAATTCAGCGCTGAGAGTTGCCAGCTGAGTAAAGTTGCCTTATTTTTATACGCTTATCGCTTGCGAATGGTCGTTCTTGCCTCCCAAACCCTTTGGGATTTGATTTTAAAGGTCGATATCGTCCCTCTAAATGAGACGTTCCGAACCTTTTCTCTCCTGTTTCTATGATTCAGTAATTGTGTACCAGGTTGATGCCGAGAAAGACATCGTGACTCACTTACGTTGCTTTCCCTTTTCTCCCCTTGGGGAGAAAAAGGAAAGCAAGACGAAGTGCGATCCCGGAGGCTGACATCTACAAGAGCGCGCCGCCGACCCTCGATGCCTCACTCTGGACCGGCTCAAACCTTACTATATCATCCTGCTGCCCCTTTTCAAATAAATCCGGACTTTCACTAACTCTGGGCTATCGCGTTGTGATTCCATTCCGCCAGTAGAGAGACGAACGCCAGGAACCATAACACTATATTGTCGAGCGACAGGCAAAGAGAACTACATGCCTCGTTGATCGCACCTCCACCCACGCCCAATCCACTTTGCTCGTTGCACCTCCACCCACCCCCAACCTTTCCCGCCTTCGAAACGGCTTGGAGGCGGAGACGCGCAGCCTGGGATGCGGGCTGGGAGGGCGCTCGAGGGGGTCGAGCGGGTCGATTCGCCTTGCAGGGGGCGAGGCGTTTCGTCGGCTCTTCAGAGGCACGGAAGGGAATGGTCGCCTTTGAAATTGTCGTGATCTTGTTTATGGACTTCAGAGGCATTAATTATCGAACTCGATAGGGAAATCCTGTGAGGTTTTCAGAGAATTTCTATTGCACCGACCCGCTTCGCCGAAACCCTGGCTAGGCCGTTGATGACTGGTATCTCTTGATTGGATATCCCGACGCTCGTGCGCATGAAATGAGACGAAAGAGCTAAAGTAGAAAGAGATCACGAACAGCTAACGCAAATCCGAAACCAGAAACTCACTGAAATTCCTGGGGATCGCTCGTCGCAGGCACTCGCTCGCGCGTGTTCCTCCTCCGCAACTGCAATGGCTGCCGATTGGTCGTTTCCCGGGTCCCTCCAAAGGGTGGGATGGGGATGGATGACTCGGGAAAGGGACCCGGCGGTCGGACGCATGCCCTAAGTCTCTTTTCGGGAAGCTTTATGAGCGGAATTTGAACCTTAAGCGCGGCAGCTTTGCGTATCTGAGGCGTAAGCGAATCATTCAGCGTGCCTTCATCCTGTCCTGAGCTTTTCCAACGGGTTTCGGCGCTAACGTTTAGCATATTCCCAGGCCTAGGCGTTTGTCAAGGCTTGCGGATGTCAGATTAGTCGTTGTCTGGGATGTCCTTTCGAAGCCTATTCCGATGGGCAGTAGGTTTTTATTACTTTCTACTCGGGAATCATTTTACGTACAGAAATGCCGTTGCTGAGTAACTGCATCATCGGCAATTTCTGTGGGGCCAGAATTCCTTCCCTGCCTTTCATCTGTGTGCCTTTCTGTCATTTAGGTTTATAAGTATCGGCTTATAATTTGCCTTTTGGAATTAATCTCTTTGATGAAAGCGTCTTTTTGCTCCATGTGTGTAGGCAGGCAGACTGGGATGGGTCAAGTCTCCCTCTTTGATTCAGTAGTTGAAAATCTTAGGCCTAGGCTAATCGTCTGTAATGCCATGATGCCCGATGGAAATGATTCTCCCCTTTGGAGAAATCCGAAGAGAGTCTGGCATATCTTCCAGCCACTTGGTCGATCTCAATCTCTTGGTCGATCGAGCTCAATCTTTTTGTCGTTGTGAAGGCATTAGTACTCTTCATTCCCAGAGATGAGGAGAACTAGGGTTACCACCTTTGAATGTAACAAAATATGGACATATGGAAATATGAAAGATGTTTCAGGCATACTGGCATAAGTGGCTCTGCTGCAATACCTATTACCTACAGGTTTAGCTAATTGGCCTACTGATGCCATAAGAGTATGATCTGCTTTAGGCTCACAGGAAGGAGTGGTTTTAGCCACTTATAAGTTTTATTGACTTTTAAAATCTCAGCAAGTTATGGACAGAGTAGTGTCCATATTAGGACTAGCTTGCATCTGAAATAAGTACTGTCCCTGCTAATAATGAAGATGTAGCAACCCTAAACTGAACAAAGAACATCCTTATTAGTAATAGCCACAAGTTGCAAGAAATGAATAGTACCTTAGTTTTAGAGCTTTTTGCCTTATAAGTATTTGTGGGGCTGGTGGATAAGTTAAGAGTGCTTCATGAGCCAGGCTTTAAAGATGAATTTTTCTTAACTATTTTCTGAAATAATTAATGAAATGCAGTTTTTGAAAATTATGATGGCATTCCATGTCCCAATTTCTGAAAATCCACACATATTATTGTCCTAATCATGAAACTGGCTCATGGTTGGAAGGTATGCAATTGAATCCATTATAGAGCATTCCTTGCCAAATTCTATGAGATAGCAAATGCAGCAACAATGGAGGCTACATTTGAAGCTCATGAAGCATTTGCTCTCTTAATGGAGCATTTGTAGAAACAGTTTCATGATGTCTGCATTCCACTCCTGCTTAGTGGTTTTGCCCCCCATTTAATATTATAATGGGGTATTAATACCTCATTAGTATTAGTACCCCATTGGTATTAATTTCATGCCTCTTGAAATTGAAGTAACCCCTTCGATCAAAAGCTCTCGTCAGATCATCGCCTAATTCTGGCTGGTTATTAGTGCTAACATATTGTAATAGTCTTGCCACTTCTTGTGGTATCCATTTCAGCTGAGCAATGGTCATGCCTTAGGTAGAAATAGAATTGTGTCAATTTTGATTACCTTGGTACTCCTTTAACTTTTCTCTCCAGGCCTTGGGGGTACCATCATTTATATGAAGGCATATTAGTCTTAAAATTAAAAAAAGAGGCAGGAATATGCATGTCAGCAGCAACAATGGTTCTACTGGCTGGAGATGATAGATGAGGGAGACTCGTGCAATCATGCCAAGTAGGCCTGTGGAGGGAGTGCGGGCAAGAGAGGGTAAATGCCTGGGTCCTCATGAGAAGAGTAAGTGGGATGGAGAAGCTTCAGCTAAAGGGAAGGGACTTGGTGTGTCTTTGTTCCTTTGTCCTATACATTAGTTTTATTTGTGCTGAGTATGCACTCTACCTCCTTCCGAGTGGTTTACAGTGCTCTCAAAGCAGTGAGTTCTCCGCTTCCTGTTTTCTTATGATCATGGAATTATTCTTGTATCAAGAATAATTATTTATAAGAATAAGAAATATTATTTTATTGTTAGGGGGTATAAAGAGAAATTTTTGCAAAAATCAGTTCATAGAAACATATTTTCAATGCAATATGCATCATCAGTTGGATTTCCAAAGATACCATTTATGGGCTTACAGCTGAGAACACAAAGTAATTTTGTTATAATGATATAATACATCTAATTTTATCATGGCAGGGTTTTATTGTAGTTGTTAAAGAAAAGGTGACTTCCCAAAAGGCATTGGCCAATCAGTGGATAGGAATGGTCCCAGTCAATAATAACCTCATGCAGCCATTCACTTGTAGTTTAATCATATTGCTGAATCTTTGCAGATTTGGATGAAGGCAAGCAAAACAAGGACAATCTAAAGTGGAATTCCTACTACATGGGGCCTTTTCACAACCTCAACCCGCTCTGGCAGACCAAAAGTTGGCT